TTATAGATACACTAATGGAGAGATCCCACATGTAGTATTCATCGCGCGGAGAACACGAGGAAAGTTCCATATTTTCCAATTACATCATCCGTGACAATACGAAAACGCAACAGAACGATAATGAACAGTCCTGAGGAAAGAGATGACTCCATAAATGCAACAACATTTTCAAGTACTTAAAATATCTTGTTTCAAATCAAACTCAAAAAATCGATAGTGACGAACGGGGCCATAGATGACGCTTGTCATGCAATCTCGCTAAGCTTCTTATTCCTCCAGTTCCAGTATTCGTCCCAAGTAACGGAAGCCTTCTTGGATTGATATGTCCTCATCTTGACACTTCGTCTAAGATCTTCGGTAATCTTCCCGTCCCAGCCAGCCTTTCTGATGGCGCTGTCAACCGTTTCGACTTTGTTCCAACCCTGAGAGGGCGCAATCTCGGGCAAATACGTAGCTGTTAGAATACGGTTTGATCTTGATATCCGACGTTTGGAAGATGATGGGACGTCTGAGGAGGATGAGGATGGAGTGGTGTCGCCTGATGAAGGAGGTAACAAAGTCTGGGTTGAAGGATGAGGAAAGGTGATGTATATCCCGTGGGTGCCCACTTCCCAGTCAAGGTATGTCGGAACATCTTGAAAATCCGTGAGGAGTGACACTCTGTTATTATGAGGCGGAAAATGAGATTTGAGAGTAATTGTCGGTGGTGTAGCATGAAAAGAGGACGTTAGCCTAAGAAGAAAATATGCAACTAAAGTGCAAAGAGCCACTTCTTTACCCGCATTCCAGCTTCCGGAGTTCGTTTGTTTGTATAGGTCTGAAGCGACTATCATTGAGAGCACTAATGAGACGTGGAGTCGTTTTGGTTTAGTGATCCGAAATGACGCTATTGCTGCTCACATACCTAATGAGAGCATATTCTTGAAGACCTTCTCGGATGTTTAGAGGCTGAAAGCTTCCGATACACCCTCTCAAGCGAATGGAAGATGTAGTAGAGCTACGGATGTTCCAAGTGACGAAAAGGGGGAACTTGTCATCTGGGAAATCGGGCGGGATCGGAGTAGCCGAAGGATATAAGTGACAGTACAAAGCGTCAAATGCATGAAAACAATGTTCTATAGTGCATTGCTGGGGAGGTTGTGGGTTGTTCATCGGATAATGGGCAAGGAGCTGATGACCGTAGAAAGAAACGTTTTACTCAAGCCGCTTACAACAACCAACATCGAAATTCAGGATCTGGCGGAGTCTCGAAATAGGGGCTGTTGTGTTGAAGCCGTCTATGTGTGACTATTACATATCTGACCACCACCATTATGGTAGCAGAGTGGCGGGAGCACGGTGGTTGTGCAGGGGATTGCAGTTTGTAATATCCCAAGGCCGCGAGTTCGAATCTCGTTCGCCACTACTCTTTTTACTGGCCGACCACCAACCAATCGGGAAAATTGTCTTACTTGTACACCCACGTTACATTCCTATTCGTTTTATACCACTCCCGATCATGAAACAGCAACTCTTCACAGATACTCTTTTGTAGTTGAGGGACGATGCGATATGTCTGCCTTTCAACCAGTAACCATTTCATGGATCTGGGCTGGAAACGCAATACCAGCTCGATTGACTGCAACATTTCTGCCCATTGCAAATGAAAGTGTATTACATGTAATATCATTTTACCTCAATTGATTAATTGTTCGTCGTCTCATAACAGAGTGAAACAACAGTTTAGAGTTACGCAGCTATACCCCTCTTGGATATGCCGTAACGACAAGCTCACAAGAAGGACGAAGCTATTAAACTCGTTTAGGATTGGGCATGAGGATCAGTCTCGGTAGCGTTGTACAAATTGTGGGTTTCGCCAAGTGTAATAATAGACGCAGGACCCCGGAAACATAGGGCCGTGGTGTTTGCTTGGGCGTCGGCCCTTGAGCGTTAGATCTTGTCTTTGTACAACCAAATGACCTTCCAGAATGTCCTCGACGATGACGTCAAATCCGAATATCCTTGGAGCGTTCTCAACTTGCCAGCCACAAGCCACAAAAGGTAGCCGATGACGTAGCACGGGGTCTCAATCGAGCCAAGTAAATTCGACATTTGACCGAAGCCAAGAACTTATCGCGTACAATATGACCCATTTGCATCGACCATGGATTTTCTTCCTTCTTCTTTTCGTCTCCACTGACATCGTGGCGCCCTTCCGTCTCTGCAACCGGTGAGATAGATGTCTCATTATGCATCAATGAATATAAGACTAACTTGAAATCACTTGTTGACTGTTGAAGCGCGTCTGCATTCGTTCGTTTTCGCAGAATTGGGCAATGATTTTGCGGGTTGGGCTACTCATAGTCGGATTTGCAACTTCATTCACATCATGTCTTCCGGTATCTGAACTACCAGGATCTCGCCACATCGAGATTGAAGGCTTCTCTACTGGAATTCCACTCCCCAAGCATCTCTTGGACTTGGTGAGAGCTCGTGCAATTGGGACTTCAAAGGCGTCATGGGAGTTGGGGACTCTAGCGCAAGCGCTTCTGGAAATTGATTGGCCGCAGCTAAGCGTATATGGTAATCATGGGGTCCCTCCACCTCGGTCCGTTAAGGATAACGGCGGCATCAACAACATCACATCGGTACTAGCAGTAGCCGACCAGTGAGTTTGCTTACGATTTCTGATTGTTTTCACTTCTGACGAATCACTACTCCATGACGAAATGCTCGATATTACCCGCATTTTCCTGGTGTGCAGTACAATTGCTATTCGTCCACCTGGCGTAATGTCCTTGATGCAAGATGGTTCTTCTGGTGATCCAGCTAGTATAGGCGTACCAATGCTGATAGCCAATTGGACCCAAGTATCTCGTCCGGATGCGTGGAAGAATGATTACAATACACCTCTTCGGCAACAAATGGACTACATTCTCAACCTTGCTCCCAAGACTCCTGACGGCGCAATCAGTCATCGTAGTGAGATAGTTCAGCTCTGGTGAGTTTCCGAGATTGTCGTCCTGGTCGAAGATCCCTGCGCTTACACTAGTTCGTGTAGGTCCGATTCTGTCTTTATGGTCCCTCCTTTTATTGCCTATTACGGAGCGCTACACCAGCCACATGTTCACTCATGGCTTCTCTATCACTCTTACGAGCAAATAAGGCTATATCGCAACTACTTGTATGATCCACAGAAGGGTTTATGGAAGCATATTGTGGGCGGTCCATGGGGAACTGACGATGGGGTATGGAGTACTGGGAATGCATGGGCTGCTGCAGGTATTATGAGGGTCCTCCTGACCATCAATCAGACAACAGTGGGCCATCAACCAATGTTTATGGCTGCTCAACGTAATTTGCAAAACTGGGCTACTGAGATCGTCAACAACTTGTGGCAGCACCAGGTAGGATCTTTAGCAACAGACTTCCTAAATGATGGAAACTTACGTAACCCTTTGCGTTCATAGCAAGCGAACGGTACTCTCCTAAATTACCCAGACGACCCCAACAGTTTCGCGGACTCGGCTTCAACTGCACTCTTGGCCGCAATAACGTATCGTCTGACCGCGATCTCTGAATACCTTCGTGGTCCGCCCAAAGGTGCTACTCGCGATCCGACGGTCAACGTTCAGTTTGGTGCCACTAATGTCACGATACCACCTCTCGTTGCGCTTCGACCGGACACCCTCAAATCTGCTCATAAAGCCCGACATCTGGTTTTGCAAAGTCTGAACACTACTTCGGGATGGTTGATGAATGTTGTTGATCCTTACAAGTTTGGATCACGAGGAACTGAGAGTCCGGAGGGCCAGAACTTTGTCA